AGCAAAGACGAGGAAAATAAAATTAACCGCCGGAAGATTAGAACCATACCTTTCACCGAAATCGTTGCGTAATCTTCCCTGTCGCCTGGTCTAGTACAAGTACGGATCAATTACGCATTCTGGCTACATGAGGAGCCACTTCTAGAACAGATACGTGGGTGGTGAAGCTGATCAAGTCCGTCTCAAGCAAGCAGTATGGACTACGGAGTACTAACATTATACGTACTGGGAGTGACATGATCAAGGCCGTTGCTCCTCGACCTTCTTGTTGTTAGTTTGCACTCGTTCACTATGCCGAGTGGGGAGTGGGAATCAAGACGAGCGAGGCCATGATGTAAACACTACCAAGAACGGGACTTGGCGGGTCGAAGGGAACGGACTACGCCACATTCAGAAAAGCACGAGACAAACATTTTGGGGCCCGACTCGACATCTGACTCGTAGGATATCGTGTGAGTGGTGAAGAAATTTGAACGACGTATAGGACTCTAAACTACTAATAATATGCCAGGTTATTCCTCGTTGACGTCGTGGCGCACTAATACACTACTCCGAGGGTATAGCGCCCAAGCCATCACACGATTGCTTCTTACAGGTTAACTTGGGAGTCTAACTTCTAAGAGATAGCTGAGACAGAAGGTGGTGGCCCAAAATTCTGGTTGAAATTAAGTTAGGTGAAACCTAAACGCCACAGTTTCGAAGGGGCGACGACGAGCCATGGTCCACGACAAACGACAAACGAAACGACGATACTTCGTAGTGAAATAGTACGTGAGAACCGTTTCGACGCTCCAGGAAATTGGGGGGTGGAGGGGAACCGAAGGTGTGGGAAGACCCTGTTGAAATTGTGACGACATGAAGGCGGTGTCCTGCCTGCTCCCATCCCTGTCATAAAAAAGGCGGCCCACTTATCATCTCTGGACACCTTGGCCTGGCCGGCCAGCCAGCAGCACATCATTGCCCGCTCTTCCCGCTCCGACTCACTCAAACTGCTTCTGGGTTGAGGGTGGTACCGACCAGCCGGTTACAGTACAGTATGAAGTATCAGACTTTACGAAGTACCTTCGTACCGATACTCTTTTGGGCCCCCTGGCCTGGTCAAGAATGCATGGAGAAAGGAGCGTGTTATGAGTTGGCAGGCACTCTCTCTTGAGCGCGTTTTTGCGTATCTTTGCGCCCACGCGTGTGCGGGTGGCACCCTACATCACAGCGCATGGCCACCCGAGGCGACCGGACCGCTCAGTCGGCGATGACCACCAGTGGTCGTTTGAATCACCTTTTCTGAAGGCTCGCATGCAGAATTTCTCTGCTGCTGTCCATTTATGTCGAAGAAATGTGACGAGGCAGAACGGCGGCTGACTCCATCCTCCAGTTAATTTCGAGTGGTGTCTTTCAGCCGACGAAGTATACATACTCCTTGGTATGGACGAAGAATGAAGGAAAACTTGTCGGCTGAAGGTACGAAGTACACTACAAAAGACGTGGGTGGGAGATGACTCGGCCGGGGTTGTAATGTGGACAAATTTCCCTTCCTTCGCTCTGTACTTTGTACCTTGAAATCCAGTGGAATGGATGGATTCCACACCCCTTCACCCCCTCCCTAACCAATTTTTCGGAAACTAACCTCAATTTGATGCCCTCCTAGCCCGAACCCGAACCTCCCTCTTCGTTGGTGTGCTTGCTGCTTGTCCAACTTGTATCTTGTGGTTGGCGGAGTACGCTAGGGCATGAACATTTTGTACACGATGGGGCACACGGGTGTTTCTGCACGTCAGCAAGGGCATTGACGCAGCACAGCCAAGCACAGCACTATCTACAAGTTGTCGGTTTTGTGTATACAAAGTACTTGTGTGTGTGTGTGTGTATGAGAGAGAGAGCGCAAATTTCTTCGTTGTCCACACCATCATCTCGCTGGCTGACCATGCTCCAGTGCTCCTGCAGACACGAAGAGAGGAGGCTGGTTTACGAACGCGCCCACTGCTACACGTGGCAGTTGATGCCGAACGCCAGCCGTCCCCGGCCCGAATCCAGGATCTCTACAAAGGGCCATTATGTACTTCCGCAGTGTGCGAGGTAAGTTGCCTGCTGGCAGTGCTCCTGTCACGGATCTGGGTACCACTTTCTTGTGTTTCGGACTTGTATGAGAGCTTCAACCAAGCCTTCGGTAACCGGAGAGGGATAACGGTGCTGCAACAAACACCACTTGAGCGGCGTCTCCGTTTTCAGCTCGCTCCCCTGCGCTGATTTTACCAGACTCTTGGGTTCAACCCAGGTTCTGCTTGTGCTTAGTGGCTTCTAGTGTCCAGACGGATCCAGGGTTTGGAAGCACTAGCGTGCTCGTAATACCGCAAGTCTGACAAGGGCCGGTCCCGTTGTTTCTTTGCGCCAACCTCCTGGGCGTGTCCCAGAGGCTCGGTACGGGCAGCCTGAACTGCAAGTGATTTTACTTTTCTTCTTTTTATTTTATTTATTTATTTATTTTTTTCCGCCACATAAATTTCTGTTTGCGTTTGACTGACGCGCGGGGCCGCATGACCGGGGTCTTTCGAGGGAGACCGACCTGGACTCACGTACATGCGCGACTGATACGTGGTAGGTCGCCTTTTCTGAAAGCCTCAGAATCAGCTTCTTGGCCAGTCCTTTTTTTTTTCTTTTTTTCTGCTGGCGGGACCTAGGCCAGGCCATCCCATGCCACGCCCGGAAAAGCTTGTTGGAGGACAAGTTTTCCGAGTGATTGATGCAATTGGACCACGGGAGGCACTTTTTGACGGATCATGTCTAATTTGGCTAATGCCTTCTCCTCGTCCTGCAATTTTTATTACCAATTATAAAACCAGGACCACGTCGACATGGATGTCTGGGAAAATTATGGAGTACATTACCCATCTTCCCACACTTTGGGAAGCATCCCCAACGGCATGCAGATGTGGTCATCTTCGCTGACCCTCGTTCCCTAACATCTCCAGGATCCTCCTCTTCCCCTTTCTTCTTGCTCCGTCGGGGCTACCTTGCGTCATCCTTGTTGATGATCCCTCCCTAAGAAGGCTCGCTCCGTTATCTACGAAGTAATAGAGAAAACGAGAGAGAAAAAAAAAAAGGAACCAACCGACTGCTAGGCCGGGTTGGTATACCTCGGTATAATACAATGTGTCTCTTGATGGAAGAAGGGAAAGGGGGGAATGAGCGAGTCCATGCTTGCAGGTCGGGGACCTCCTCATCTTAGCCCTTGATGTTGCTATCTCGAACCTTACTTCTCTTCCCTCATTGGTATTCCTGCCCTTGTCCTCATCGCAGAGGATAACATGATCATGGCCGCATCCATTTGGAATGCTTGTCGAGGGCGATATAAGATACCATATTGATGAGGGAAAAGACGCCTCGCTATCTCCCCCCCCCGGGTGAAAGGCATGGGGAGGAGCGGAGGAGCGACTTCGGCGTCACTTGCTACCCACCCCTGCCCTTTCGTTTTGTTCTCTTTTTCCTTTTTGATCATTTACCCACATTCGATAAGGGTGATATTAGTCGGAAGCTCATGCGAAAGAAGGGCCGGCATACCCTCACTCTGCTTTCCCCCTTCTGCATGAAATATCTACCTGTATCTTGCTATTCGCCAACCGTTCAATGAAACCTTAGACGAAGCGCAAGTGCCGTGGATTCAAGTTCATTAGCGATATGACAGGAAAAACTCCCCGGAGTACGACATGACAGGTCAATGTCATATCTGAATTTGATACCATTTCCCCCATTTTACTTCTCCTCCTTCTCTTGCTTGCCCTATCACCACTCGTCTCATCCTGTCAGATTATACAGTACCTGTTCCCGGCCACCCGCTTCTTTGGGTCCGGACTTATAATTCGAAGCCAATCCTGATTTCTCCATCCCCCCATTTCGCAATACATCCCGGCGAAGTGGGAGAGCCCCTGTCCGGAGGAACTGGGTCTATCCCGTATCAGGTCCGGGGTATTTCCATTTTGGTCGGCGAAGTACTATTCCGCCGAGGCGATATCCTTGTCCATCCATTCCGCATTATTACTTCGTCCTTCTCTCGCCTGACCTACGCATACTTCGCACCAAGGCCAGAAGTTGTGTCGTTCCCAAAGGACGTTTTAGGAAACCTGTATATGTGTGGCATCTGCTAGGTCACGATTTTTGAACATCTCGTCTGTATCTCGCGTGTCCCCAAAACTTCCCAGCCAAATGGAATCTAACATCTATTTCCCACCCTACATGAACGCGTGGAGTGGCAGTTTTTCTTTTGTTCAAACTTTCCCTGGCGCCCGGTCGCTCGTCGTCCTCCCGCGCGGAGAAATCTTCGTCGTCTTGGCTAAACGTCCCCCTCCCCGGAATCCATCCCGCGCTCTTTGACCTCGGATGAAGTGGATGTGCGGAACTAAGGCGGGGCGTGAGTGATTCTCTCTCTGGCCAAAGAGACGGGTGCGGGAAGCCGTCTTGCGTTTGTTTTCGTCTATTCTTCCCCCCTCCCTCTTCTTTTTTAAGCGTAGGTATTATGAACGGCCCGACGAAATCATCATGGTTATAGTGGTCGCTGTAGGGAAGACACTGGAAGGACGAAGTTGCAAGTTTGTTTCTGTGAACGACTAATTTCCATTGGATAAACTTCTTGGTTCTTTTTCTTCCCCTTTCTCTGGGGTATTGTCCAAAGTGGTGGTAGTAATGTATTACAAAATAGAAAGTAGTTGATGCAGAAACAGTACCCCTTAACTCCTTGCGATTTCCCGTCCGTCTCTTTTCGTCTCCAGTGATGATTTTTTTTTCCCATCTATTTTTCGTAAGGCTTTCTATATTGTTTTCAAACGTCTTTTGAAAGTGGAGAAAACTTCATGCTCCTCTCCAGAAGGTAAGGAGAGAAGTCTGGAAGGAAATCATGGAGGTGATGCATTTTATAGGCCATCCATGACTGATCATAACAAAACAACTCACCGCCCCTAACCCCCTCCAAAAGAGAATCAGCAGCACCGTTTGATATATATCTATTCCTCTTACCAGCAGCTGAAAACTGGATTCTTTGACTTCACCATCTCCAACCGCTCAACAATGACCTTGCGGTGAATCCCCTCCATGCCCTCCGCAGCAGCGTAGCCAAGATCTCCCTCGAGGTCGTCCTCATCAAGAACGTCACCGTAGAGTTGCTGCGCTATGCTATTCGTCCTCTTCGAGGCCAGCGCCGCATGTGAGTACCGTCGAATATGCCTCGGCGGCGCGTACATGTTAAGGGCCGCCCTCGACGGACCCTGGTAGCTCATTCTCGGCCTCGAGCCGGTAGCAGGCTCGGACTCGGAGTCAGCTTTCCTCGGAGGCACTGGCCGTTTCGAATTGGGAGCAGCGTTCACAGAGACCTCATCCGGAGACCGGCCGTCATCGCCCGAGGGGGTCAGCTCGAAGCGGCCGGGATGGGGCATATCAGCTGGCGGCGGACTCGCGGCGACACCAAGAAGGTCGCCGTCCGAAACGGTCGTCGGCGCAGACGAAGCTACGGCGCCAATGTCCATTTCGTCTATCGAGTCGCGCCGGTGGGTTGAGCCGCGGCGGAATTCGGACGATGTCACGCGCATGGGCACCGCGACGGGAACGTCCACGAGGTCATCCCAGACGCAAACCTTGGCGCGGCGGGTGAGTTCGAGAGGGCCGTGGTCGGGCGTTTTGAGCGTTTCGACCACGTTCCACGCTTGGCCCTTCATAACGGCGATTTGCTTTGCGAACATGCGTTCCTTGAAATCGGGGTCGATTTGGAAGACCTTGCGGAGCTCGTACTGAGTTTGACTCCACCAATGTGTGGAAGTGAGGAGAGGAAGGAAGTGGTTTCTTGTCTTCTCCGAGAAAGGCCGACCGATGAGATCAACCGGAAGGAAGAGCCATCCGAATGGGAAGCTAGAGAACGGCGAGTTAGCAATGCTGAACATGAGCTAAAGGGGTAAGATGGACAAAAAAGGAGGGCAACAACTCGCCTTCTCCAAGCATCGGGGTGTTTCCATGGCCAAGACAGCGAGTTATCAATGGCGCCGATAGATATTTGCGGCTCCGCGCTGGAGCTGGACGGGCTCGCAGCCTTCATGGGACGTTGTGTCTTGTAAGGGTACGATGCACGTTCCGCCATTTGCGGTCTCCCATTCAGACTCACTGGCCGAGGCCCAACGGAGTCTTCCTCCTCCCCATCCCTTAGGTTCATTTGTATAGGTTCCGAGGTGATGGATACTTGCTGGGTCTCCCAATCGACCTTAACCATCCAATTATCCAGCCCTCGATCCGTGTTTCTCATGATGTAATCCAAAATGACGAGCTTCTCCAACTCTTCTCTAAATGACTGCTTCAAAGTTTCCGTCCAGACAAAATGGTTAGGCCCTGGTGAAAGAGCCTCCGCCGATTCCCCTTCACTGTCCGAGTCACCGGCAGGTGATGACCGGCTGGGTCGGCAGTTATCTGCCCATCTCCTCCTTCGCTTCCTGTGGGAGTCGTTTGTGCGAAATCCGGACAGATACTGATCGGGCCAAGGGTGCTCGCGGAGGAAGACGTTGGCATCCTTGAAGCCCTTAAGGAAGACCTGGAAGCTTCCGGGTTTGGAGGGGAGGGGCTTCTTCTTGCGGTAGAAGCTGTGTCGGTCCCAGAATGGATAGTGGAACGATTTAGATGAGAGGTAGACAACGTCGGTGTAGGGTACCAGGTTGGTCTGCAATTGGCAGTCTAATGTGTAGGCAGCAGCTTCACTGACGTACGACAGATTCGGAATGAGGCTATGATGCATGTTAGGTTGATTCGGGAGACAAAGAAATCCACACAAGAAGAAATGCCCTTATGACTTACCACGCTCGGCCAAAGCAGCAAGGGAAGAGGTTTCGGTGTATCCATTTATTCCACTTTGGGTTTCCGGCTGCATAAGGCTCTTCATCCTTCGGCTTGAAGACACCTACCACCTTTCCCGACGTATTCCGAGCGAAGTAGCTACCCGAGCTTCCCTGGGAAATCATCCGGGGGTGCACTCCTTGCTCAATAGCGGTCCTTACGCTATCGACAATTTCCTCAAACTCTTGTTTAGACATGGCTGCTTGGTACTCGGCAAGCTCTCCGGGTGTGACGGGCCGGATTCCTTCGGGAGATCGAAACACTGAGTGATGTATCTCTAACCGTTCCTCCTCGCCGGGGGTTGTGGCTCTTGTACGCTTGAACTTGGAAGCAATTTCATCGGCCCATTTCTCCAGTCTGGCATTGATAGCCTTCAAGTCGACGCCGGCGTTGCTTCCACGCCGATTACGATATCCGGACCGACCAGCTCCTCGGTCAGAACGCGCGTATTGTGAGGAACTATATTGGGCGCGTGGAGGTTGTAGAGAAGAAAAGCTCTGGGCGAGATCATCGTCATCCGAGTCATCGCTAAATCGGTCGGCTTGGGCGAGGCGTTCGTATCCCGTCGTTGCGGGGCGTGTGGGGGCCATCGTGGTAATGAATTCTCGAGGGCCTGAAGGTGTTGTCTAATGGTCTATCTGTCTTCCATTCCAGGTCAAGAAGAGCTCGGGGTAGTCGATAAGAGAAAAGGATGGGACTCGTCGGCGCTGCCGAGGAGTCGGCAAGAGAAGAGAACACGATTCTACGCGGGAATTAAAGAGAGACGAATTCGAAATTCAACGGTGGAATGTCTAGATTGTAGCACGAAAGTGTCAGGAACCTGGAAATCAGGGGCAGGATAGAGGGCACTTTATGGCCAGGGGCGAGGACGTACATAGTAGGGCGAGAAAGGAAAAGAAGAGGTATTTTGTAAACCGAGACGCTTGATGTTTATTCCATTATTGGGAGCCGAAAAACATTTTACCGTGGGGTTGCCGTTGATACGTCTACACTGCTGGGTTCGGGACTTCTCTTGATGCATATGAAGTCGGGTCACTGATCTCCGTCATGACCTCCTTTCCTGGTTGTTGGACTCGAAGCATCAGCGTGTTCAGTTGGACCATGTCATTGATGAATTAGCCGATGCTATCCCGATGCTTAACTAAGCTTCATAAAAGCCGACATCTGATGGACTGGGGTAAATTTTAGTGGGTCCTCCGGAGCCAAAGACAGTGGACTGGCTGGAATGACGTCGTCTCGGTCCACCCCACATTGAAACGTCGGGGAAGGTGAACGCCTCCCGACCGTAGCACACTGACTGACAAATCCTCACCGTCGTTATCGTAGTTTAGTTTATGAGAGCGAGCATACCTCAGTACTTCGTACACAATTTCGAGATGGGTGGTTTCACAAAGACACTCCTGCTTCCGTTATCCTTGAAGGCTTCCGTCCCGCATATACCCTTGCATTGGAGGACGCGATGGCCAATTAGGCCCTAGCAAACCTGCATCGGCCCTTGCTTTCACGTCTGGAGAGTGATGGTTCTCAGCTTCTTGGTCTGAAGGGATCTCGATTTATCTCGAATGATGCCACCAATGGCTCGCTAGACTTGTGCCGATCACATCGGATTCCGGTCTAGAGTCCATACGTTGGACGATGACTAGCGTAGCGATGGCCAAACCTTACGTATATATTACCCCTCCCCTGGATAATAGGAGAATATATATAATATATAGATCGACACATCTATGTAGATATGTACAACGCCGGTTTATGTGTCACGCGTGGTCGCTGTCGAGAAAATCCTTTGTGATTGTCGTCCATTCCGACCGCCCCGTTCTTTGTGTGTTGAATTGGTTGAAGAGTGTTGGGAATTGTCAACGACAAAGTTCCCCAAACCACCGACTCCCACCGAAACCCTCGAAGCTGTGTTTCAGACGGACTTCACAGAGCGACCTTATTACGATATCTGCCCATCTCTCCAATATCTACCAGCAATCGTCCTTCAAGGTTCCAATGATAGTGGAATATTGACAAACCCCCCTTCTTTTGTCGACATACGCCACGAAGAATCAACACTCAACTCACCATGACGGCTGAGGAAGAGGCCAAATCAGCCCAAGCTACTCCCAAGGAGACGACGGTGGAAGAACCCACCGATTCCGATGCGAGCCGGGGTCGAACTAAAGCCCGAGAGGCACCCCGAGCATCTCCGACAACCACATACCGCACCGGAACGGGGGAATCAAGTACGCTCCGTGGCCGCACCCGATGGAGATCGACTTCCCCTCTCGTGTCTCGGAACACAAGCGCCCAAGGGGTCAAGACGCCTGCTCGCGGGTCTTCTCCTAAGACTAGACGACTGATACGGATAGCGATGATGAATAGACGGCGGAGCCGAAGTCCGTCACGCTCGACGGACCGATACTCGAAGAAGGGAAGCACAAGGAGACGGAGGAGGACCAGGAGTCGAACTAGGAGTCGGGCTCGGATGGGTGAGGTGTCCAGACATCAAACCTCCACACAAAAAATGGAAGAATAACACACTCGAGAATGGTTCCAATAGATGAAGGTCAGAGCGAAGCTGAGGGTCTCTCAACAATACCGCAGGCCATCATCTGCTTGAGTATCGCTTGAGACAAAACTGGAGGATAGTCAAATTGCTGGATGAGGGAGATGGTGGCCTGCTTCTGCCATTGATTTTACGATAGCACCATCTGTATTTGTATAATAGCGGAGTACTTTGGGGACAGGAGCCATTCAACGAAAGACACAGATCATTGATCAATGATATTTATCGAGCGCGGGCTGGGATGTTTGGTTGGGCGTTACTTTTGATATTAAAAATCCACACACAGATTGGCCTTCCATGAATAGGGAAAGATTTCGTTAACACGAATACAATTTGGATGGCTTGGGACCGGAGCCTGGATATTGCTATTGCTCGTAACTCAGACAGATATCTGCGTGCAGGCTCGGTCTGAGCTCGGTCTCAACTCGGTCTAGGCGTCAACAGAGTCGGCGGCGGCGGGCACAATTTACACAATCTCGTCTTCCTGAAGCCCGGCAGGGGCACTTCTGAGCGTGGGAAGTCGCGACTTGAAAAGTTGGAGTTGGTCGCATGACCTCACAGTGTGAAATTCCTCTTACGGACGGGTGGGCACTGACAAATTACTAGGCAGGTTCTAACGTTAGGCTGTTAAAGGCGTGGTTTTAGTGGCTGGTCGCGACTTCAGGTAGCAGCCTGCCTGCCTAGCCTGGGCTCCTGCCTTTAAAACTTGCCCCACACTCACAGTGCAGGATGGAACAGGCTCGTCTCACAGGCGTCTGCTCCTTCCCTGTCACGAATCTCTTCATCAGTTTGGTGCATGTGGTAAAGGGCGATGGGGAAAGGAGACCTCGTCCGAGGAAAGAAGTCCCGACATTTGTCCTTGACCGATCATTGATAAATCATCTTCCCACGTTGCTGTTTTCCTAGTTCAATTGTTTCTGCAAGACAAGCCATATCCGTCAAACTAACACTCCTCACTTGCTGGTTGGGCTCAGTTTCAAACCTTCACTTTCAGCCCTCTCTCTTTGTCATTGGATCATCATTATCTGAGGCGACTGCCATTCACTGAGCTGCCTTATCTCCTTGGCTCCAAAACCTTTGTTTCTTGGTTAAGAACTTCGTCAACTTTGCAGGACGCTGCATCGGATTCACTACACCAACCACACCCCAGCTCATCTCGTGTAACTGAGCCTTGGTCACAGCTTAAACCTGCTCTCAAATTGCCCGAAAGTCAAGGCGGTCTTTCAATGCCAAACTAATCTCATTTTGCTATTCACGAACTTCTTGGAGACTTTCCATCCCAACTGCGACTCTGGTGGTTTGCATTTGCTATCTTTCAACCACCTTGTCTGCCTTGTCTGCCTAGAACCTTTTCCGTTTCTTCAACCGCACAATCGGCGTTTTGGGAGAAAGCTGATGCTAGGTGCCGCCACTTGCTCCTCGACGGGCAACGCGTTTTCGATCCAGCCACCAAACCACCAAACCCCACCAAATCCAAATCCAGAACCCCGCGAACCCTGCGACAACGCGACGCTTAAGTCCCTGAATAGATTCCGGCCTCCTGATTTGGCGGAAGCCATCGTGATAGGATCTATGTGATCGATACCTCTTCGCAGTTACCAACTCGCCCCTCACTGGATCGCCGCGTCGCCTTTCATCCTGCGCTTCGAATGCACCGAGCGCGTCGAGAATTCACACTTCCCGGCAAGGCAGCCCGGTGATATCGCTATGCCTTCTCCGAAGCTTCCCAATGGTACTGACAACCGATCCACTTTTTCAATACCTGCCTCTTCTACACCTGACTCGCTCATGACCCCTCGAGCAAGTGCCTGGGTGCATAGTCTTGATCTAGAGCCCTTACCTGGCTCGAGGCCCACCCCTCCCTCGCAAACCCCCATCTCTGCTCCATCGTTGGCTGCTCTGAGTGATGCTTACAGAGATGAACCTCAAGGACGATCGATCTTTGTACCACCTACGAATCACCAAACCAACGGCTCCGCATCATGGAGCCCCGCGGCGCTTCTCGATCCTCGGCGCGCTGGTCGACCGCAGCCTGCGCCTCGACGTCAAGGCCTCGGCTCGTCGCATTCCCAGCCAACCCTCTCGGCTGAGCCGTCGTCTCTCTTCTCGACACCCGGAACCTCGAACGTCACCGACTCTACTCCTGCCAATAGCACTCCTTCTCTGACCCCGCGCTCAGACGTCCCATCTGACATGACCCAGCAATCGTTCGTCTTCAACTTTGACTCACCAGAGCCTTCTGCAGACCAGGCTACACCTATCGCTACCCCTTCCTCCACTGCTCCGGGCATGGGAAATATGATCGAACGCATGAATAATGTGCAGGAGCGAGCCTTCGTTGTCCCACCATCAAAAAAGCGGAGGATTGACGATGTCGATGCCTCCAACGGGAAAAAAGCTGTGATAAAAAGTGGCGGCGGCATTCTGGGCGAAGCCGTTAGAAATCAAACTCCGACCCATGGCGTGCCTGCTTTAAATAGTAGGGCGCAGACGGTCGACTTGACGGAAGGTAATGTTGCTTATTCAACTACCCTTATATCTTGACGTGACTAACACTCTCCCAAGGTGATGACGATGTCGAGGTGGTCCAAAGCCCCCAGGACGAGGAAGTCTGCTACGGCATGCTTAATGCGAAGCTCGTGTGCTTCAAGGTGCCTTCTCCGAAGCCGGGAGCGCTAAGTCTCTTTGGCCCTCAGTGGGTACCACTTGTCAAAATCGTCCTGAAGAGACTCTCGGGAGATAAGACGACAAGGATCCAGGCTTATGACCATACGAGGGAAATCATTGGCAACGTGGACCCTGACACATCCGCCGGACTTGCAACGCTTCTAGACACGACCATGAAGATACGCACGGACTGTCGAATTCCCTCAAGGCAGAGGAAGGCTGACGAAATACCGGGAGCTCCGATATCTAGAGCTTACCCCATAGACCTTGTTCTCTACGGCCCGCTCAAGCATGCTAAAAGCGTTGGGAAGCACCTATCTAGGTACAACTTGCAGCTTCACAGCCCTAAGATGGTTCAGAACGGCATCAAGGTGTTCAATCCCCACATACAAGAGTACAAGCCGCCGCCGCAAAGGACCTATGGTGGCCCTCAAGGTAGTAGCTCCTTTGCTGTACCTACTCTCAGAACCGTGGAGGAAGTCCGGAACGAAGTCATGTCAGTCTTCGACTCGCTCGCAGATACCCAGCATCTTCCGGAAGCTCCAACTCCACCCAGCGTCCAAACCCCGCTTTTGAAACACCAAAGGCAAGGCCTATACTTCATGAAATGCAGAGAATCACTAGAAACCGTAGAAGGCACGGGTGGCAGCATCCCGTCCCTCTGGAAGAGGCGAATGAACGAGCACTTACAAATGGCCTACGTCAATGTCATTACTGGCCAATGGGCAACTCATCCACCGGAGACACGGGGGGGTATCCTTGCTGATATGATGGGTCTCGGAAAGACGCTGAGCATTCTCGCTCTTATCGTCAACTCTCTTGATGAATCTAAGAAATGGGGCGTGAAGACTCCGGTTCAGCCAAAGACTCCAAAGCCCCACGGCCACGGCCACGGCCACGGTCACGACAACAGTCACAACCCTCCAGCCCAAGGACAAGCTCTAGGCCTAACGCGGCTCGTGAGGAACACAAAGACTACCCTACTAGTCTGCCCGCTAAGTACCATTACGAATTGGGAAGAGCAGATAAAGCAGCACATCAAACCGGGTGCCATAAAGTACTACGTTTACCATGGGGCCAACCGTATCAAGGACTTGCGTAAACTGTCCGAGTTTGACCTTATCCTGACTACCTACGGCTCTGTCTCGAGTGAGCTCAGTGGCCGCAAGAAGAAGAAGCAGGGTCCGTTTCCCCTCGAGCAGCTGGGATGGTTCCGGATCGTCTTGGACGAGGCGCATATGATTCGGGAGCAGTCCACGCTTCAGTTCAAGGCAATTTGCAGGCTCCAAGCTGATCGTCGATGGGCGGTGACGGGTACTCCGGTCCAGAATCGGCTTGATGACTTGGCCGCTCTGCTCGCCTTCATCCGCCTAAAGCCGTTTGATGATAGAAGCAAGTTTGTGCACTACATCGTCGAGCCTTTCAAGTGTTGCGACCCGGAGATCGTACCGAAGCTGCGCATTCTCGTCGACTCGGTGACTCTTCGCCGACTCAAGGATAAAATTGACCTCCCACCACGGACCGACCAGATCGTCAAGCTTAATTTCTCTAAGGAGGAGCGGTACATATACGATTTGTTTGCCAAGAATGCCCAAGATCGCGTGCGGGTGCTAGCAGGGCATGGCATAGAAAAGGCATTGGGCGGTCATACGTACATACACATATTGCGAGCCATTTTGCGCCTCCGACTTATCTGCGCCCATGGCAAGGATCTCCTCAACGAGGACGATCTCGCCGCGCTGCAGGGAATGACGGCTGAGACGGCTATTGATCTCGATAGCGACGAGGAGCCCGATGATACGGTTTCACCACTGCCGGAGCGAAAGGCATACGAAATGTTTGAGCTTATGCAAGAAACGAACAATGACTCGTGCATAAGCTGCCAGAGGAAGTTCGGGGCCGATGATAGCGACAATATTGAGTCGGAAGGGCAGGAAGATCTGATGGGCTATATGAACCCTTGCTTCCATCTCATCTGCCCCTCATGTGTCAAGTCGTTCAAGGAGCAATCGACAGCCGCCATGCAACCCCCAATGACCCGGGGTCCCTGCCCTGCCTGCGGTACTTGGGTTCAAGTTTACCTGGTTGAACTGCGACGGTCAAAGACAAATGTGGAACACGATGGAGGACCGGCGATTAAGTCTAAGAGGCAGACCGGTAATGGCACTAAGAAGACGTTTGAAGGATACTCCGGCCCAAGTACCAAGGTCCGGGCCCTGGTAGAGGACTTGCTAAAGTCCAAAGCTGAAAGCGACATGCATCCGGACGAACCACCGATCAAGTCCGTCGTCTTTTCGGCGTGGACATCTCACTTGGATCTCATTCAAATGGGTCTTGATGCGGCTAGTATCGTATACACCCGACTAGATGGTAAGATGTCGAGGCTGGCTCGCGCAAATGCTATGGACAAGTTCCGTGACGACCGCACGGTACCCGTCATCCTCGTCTCCATCATGGCCGGCGGTCTCGGGCTCAACCTGACGGCGGGCAGCAACGTTTACGTCATGGAGCCGCAGTACAACCCTGCCGCCGAGGCTCAGGCGGTTGATCGCGTGCACCGTCTTGGACAGAAACGACCGGTGCGTACAGTCCGGTACATCATGAAGAATAGCTTCGAAGAGAAGATGCTTGAGTTGCAGGAGAAGAAGATGAAGCTCGCGTCCCTCAGCATGGACGGGCGGGGGAAAGCCATTGACAAGGGAGAGGCGGCGAGGCAGAAACTCATGGATCTGCGAAGTTTATTCAAGTGAAGAGGGAAAGGCGGTGGTATGGCTCGACGGCGGCTGGTGGAAGAAGCGTTATATATGGATGAGGCTTGTGGGGAGAGAGCGCGGGAAGAGAGAGAGAGGTGGTTTGGGGAATTGGGGGTTATCGAGGTTATGCATCTTTTTCCGTTCTGCATATATTTCCTGCAGCATCGACACATTCCCGAGGCATTTCATGGTCATTTTTTAAGCATTGGGGGCGGTTGGTAGGGGAAGGGAAGGATTTGGTGTTGCTCCTTTTCGATATTTGTTTAAAGGGGAAGCCGTGGAGTTAGGCCAGATATAATATCCTCGTTTGTTTTCGCTTGTTCTTTTCCTTATTCTTTCTGAACTGAGGGCGGGGGATGAATGTTACACGGACAATGCCCCTTTGTGTGGCACACACATCCCGGCTAGACTAGAGGGTTGGCTAGACGGAGGAGAGGAAGGAGGTGATCCAATAGATGGCTGATAGAGAACATTACTGTAATGATTTCTATGAACTCTTATGAATTCTTCAACACTTTTCTCTGTGACGCGGCTCCAAATGTTGTATGTCATAACATATATATGTTTCCATTCGTTTCCTGTTTTGAACTCCGCTTGGCTACACAAGAGACGTTTCTCTATGCTTCGTTTCTTCGAATCTCATGACCCTGGGGTATCTACCGTACAGAACCCATACGTTTTCCCTCTCATTCACAAACATCAATGTCTTCTCCCAATATTACCAAACCCCCCTACGCTGCCTCCACCTCACTCCTCAACCCCGCATACTCCGTCCCCTGGTTCGCAGCACTCAACCTCGCACAAAGACTCAACAAAACCACCGTCTCAGTCGCAGCATAATGATTCAGCGCGTCCAGCAAGATCTGCAAATGTCTACTAAAGTTGCCCTCCCACTTGCGCATGATCTCGAAGAGCTCCGCCACGCGCTTGTCGGGGTTGTTGTTGCTGCTGTTAGCTTCGGAGAAGGAAGAAGAGGCGGATGAAGGGTCGGAGGCGTTGCGGGCGGGCGGTTGGGAGGCGCGGTGGGCTTGGAGGCGGCGCCATTCGGGGAGGGTCATGTTGGGGGGGCGGAGGTGAGGAGCGGAGAGGTCGGGGTCTGTTTTTTCGAGTTCGCGGGAGAGCCAGTTTGTGTAGGCGGCGAAGATGGTGCAGGTTTGCATTAGTTTGGAGTGGATCTGATTGAATGTTAGTCTTTTTGGTGATTTGAGAGGAGAAGAAAGAGGGGGGAACGTTTACCCTCAGGAGCTTGCTGTTTGTCAGCATACACTCCTTTAGACATGTGTCGAGGAAATCGACATGATCCTGCATCAACTCGTCAACCGTCCTCGTCAACCCCTCTGCGGCGCCCATCTTGCCAGCATCTCCCCCGTCCGTCGCCTTAAGCCGGGACATGAACTTTTGCCAATTCGGCTCGATGACCTCAGCGGTGCAAAAGTACAGCAACTGCTGCACAAAGACGAGCATCCTCGCACGAAGCGTCCAAACGCGCCGCTTCCACGTCTCTAGTTTGGCGTACGAGCTGCGGTGCGCCCAAGTGACGCCGCGGATCTGCGTCTGCCAGGTCGTCGAGAGCTGAGACTCGAGGTATCGCAGAGACAGTAGGTAGCGGAAGAGGGCCTGGTACCGCCAGACGGTCTTTCGGCTGATGACGAGGGAGACGGGGAAGGGAACTGCGTAGTCGAGCTGCAAGGACGTGAAGCCGATAGCGTTCTTGTCGTTCTCGATGGGTTGGTTGGATGTGACGGGGGCGAGGGTCTCCCCCTGCTCAATGCCAGTGATGTTGACGACGCGTTGGAGGGATTTTATCAGGGTGATTTCGTTCATCTCGACTTTCACGTCTTCTTTGAAAGGGTCGAGAGAGACGGCGCTGCCGGGTTGGCGGAGGACGAGGTCGAGGAGCGACTGGAGCTTGCCGGTGTTAACGGACTTGACGGGTTTCTTGAGCTCCGAGGCCCCCAGCTCGAGGAAGTAGGAGAAGTAGTCCGACGGGTCGAGGAAGAAGTAGTGTTTCAGGGAGCGCAGCCGATCGGGTAAGGCATGAGTCGTGAGGAGGAGCTGCATGAGGGACTCGTTGGCGTGCGCGTACGCGTTGCTGACGTTTTCGAGGAACCGGCTATCGTCGAACGACGTCGGCACGTCTTTCACCTCCTTGCTGACGTCGACGCCACCACACTCGCGCACGACATTGAGGTACTTGCCGGCGAGGAGGACCTTATCCTTGACACCCTCGAGCTGCGGAGGCACGTCGTTGTCGCGGATGGTGTAGCGCCGCTCCCAGTACTCGTCGGTGTAATCCTGCTCGAGCCGTTCACGCTTAATGCTCTTCTGCTCCTTGATGAGGAATTCGGAATGCGGGTCGTTGATGCCACCGTGGTGGAGCCACTCGTTGAGCATCACCATGTACGGCTTGCTGGCGTCGCGTAGCAATGCTGTGAGGAGCGCCTTCGCTGATGGGTCTCCCGACATGGTCTCGAGCCTCCTCGATATCATGCCCAGCACGACGCCTCCTTTGCATATCTTCTTGCCCGTCATATTGCCTGGTGCTAATTCTCCTCCTTCCCTCAGAGACTCGAGAATGTTTTCAAAGTCGTCGCCACTATCGCTCGACTCGTCCGACTCGTCATCCAAGAGGGCATTCTTCTTTAGTAATTCGTGGGCCAAGGAGTAAAGTTGCAACATCATCTGCCTCGTCGAGAGCGTGTGTACGTTGAGCGCGTGAACCGTGAAGCTCTCGTTTGTTAGGAATTGCGTCTCTAGCTGCGCCACGAGAACGAGATAATCCTGGAGATGTTTCCGAACGGCGGCGCAGAGCGCGTGGTTCACGGCGCCGAACTCTTCTCGGCTCTGTACATCGACGAAGGCTTCTAGGGCGGAATAATACGTCGCTAACCTGAGCATGGAGTTTGTGAGGTCCTGTAGGCTAGGATCTAAGCCGGGGAGAATGCGAAAAGCAGGGCCGGTGAGTCGGTCCCTCTCTTCGTGCGGGTTATAGGTCTTAGCGAAACGGATATATTGCCCTTCGTAGCCCATAAATGTGAATAGTAGATCTTCGATAATGGCGGCTTCCTGAGCCTCAAGCGTCAGTTCGCCTAGAGGTCGCGGCTGTTGGGCTTGGGGTGCCTGCGATGCTAGTGGTGGGATTGAGATTCGACAGGCCAGGGGAGCTGAGGTATGCGGTATCAATGTCGCTTCGGGGTTCCATGGCGCTGAATGGGTGAGGCAAGGTTAGCCCAAGCAACGCAAACATACATTCACACACACTCCCTAGAAAGAGTAAAAAGGAGAAACAAAATACTAGCCGGGACATGGGACCTACCCTGAGGGGCCTCTGGTTTAGACTGCTCCTTCGGACGCGACTCCGACGCACGATGCCTCGCAGCCTCCCTCTTCTCCACCCTCTCCTTCCTCTCGGGACTCCTAGTCCTCGTAGCCAGCTGTTCGCGGTGCGTAACATATGCCCTCTCCGTATGAATCTCCGTCCTCCTCTCCTCGGTTCTCCGGTCCTCCATCGTGCGGCTCAGGGGCCGGGGATTTCCGGACGCCGATCTCTTATGTGACGTGGAATACTGGTGCTGGTGGTAAGAGGCCTGGCGGGGGTCGCTCGAGCGGTCGCTCTTGAAGCTTCCTTGGGCATTTACACGCGGGCGAGGCCGGTCGTCGGGGTGTGCGCTTGAGCGGCGCTCGTGGGTGGAGAGCCGGGCGGCGGCGGACATGGTAGGGACGGAAGCATCTGCGGGTTGGAGGGGGAAGGGTGTGATTTGGTGTAAAGCTCTGTCGGTTGGGGGAATAGCTGGTATGTGGGGAGTCGTTCTCGGTGGATAGGCGGGAGGTGGGATTTAATGGGGGACGATCGACGGGTTCGAAGTGGTTTGTCGCGAAGTAACCGCGATTGTTCGAAGTACATAAATGGACAGGATCAAGTCACTGGTACAAGAACCCTTTGTGTGCGCTGTGCCTGAAGAGAGGTTATTGTTACTTGGGTCGCGTTGAAACAAAACAGCACGCTGGCCAGGCTATTTACATTCTGCATCAGGGACATTGGAGGGGCTCAGGCGGTTTTAGTGGGTCTTTCAGCGAAGGATGCTGCGAGCTGGGCAGCGACTTGGGGTGGTACAGGTACCAGCCTCACCTACTGAGTCACTAGCCACACCACTGGTCCCGCCTGAGGCTGGCGGACGAAGCAAAGTACCTTTACAACCCATTCTAAGCTACGCGGCTGGATGCTTGCCTAGCCAAGAGCAACCAGAGCAACCACCGCCTTCCCAGACCTCGTGGCTGAAGCTCCAAACCTCAACGACAACACCTCCAGCCTTTCCCATCTTCCATCAACGCAATCGCTCAAGAGCCTTAACCCACGAAACCTGAACCAGCGTTTCTTTATTGTCCTCATTTCTCCTTAATTGACCGTCTATTAACACAAATACCGCCAAGATGTTTATGGCAAGGTCGGAATACGGTAAGCTCTAAGCATAGACAACTCCCCAAGCTCTTACTTGCTTCTCGCCGCAGCTCTCGACACTATGTCGCTAACAACTTTATCTCTCTAGATCGAGGTATTAAGTACGTCTGCATTCCATCGTGCCTGAACTCAGGCAGCTCCTAGCCCCTCCTCCATCCAAACCGCAAAGAACCGACCAAAACTAACCCTTCGCCCCTCTCAAGCACCTTCTCCCCCGAAGGCCGCCTCTTCCAAGTTGAATACTCCCTCGAAGCCATCAAACTCGGCTCAACCGCCATCGGCGTCTCCACCTCCGAAGGCGTCATCCTCGGCGTCGAAAAGCGCGTAACCTCCACCCTCCTCGAGACCTCCTCCGTCGAGAAGATCGTCGAGATCGACCGCCACATCGGCTGCGCCATGTCCGGGCTCCAGGCCGACGCCCGCTCCATGGTCGAGCACGCCCGCGTCGAGTGCCAGTCCCACGCCTTCAACTACAACGAGTCGCTGCGCGTCGAGTCGTGCACCCAGGCCATTTGTGATCTCGCCCTGCGTTTCGGCGAGGGCGCCGATGGCGAGGATCGCGTCATGAGCAGGCCTTTTGGCGTTGCTTTGTTGATTGCGGGTATTGACGAGGATGGGCCGCAGCTTTTCCATGCGGAGCCGAGTGGGACTTTTTATAGGTACGATGCTAAGGCTATTGGGTCGGGGTCGGAGGGCGCGCAGGCTGAGCTGCAGAATGAGTATCACAAGGTAGGAAGATGTCTCTTTTTTCCTGGTCTTTTTATTTCACTTGATGAGAAAGAGCTGCTAATTCTTTTTTTGCGATTTAAAGTCTCTTACCCTCACCGACGCGGAGACTCTCGTCCTCAAAACACTCAAGCAGGTCATGGAGGAGAAGCTGGATGCCAAGAATGTCCAACTCGCCAGCGTCACAAAGGAGAAGGGCTTCAGAATATACACCGACGAGGAGATGGCCGAGGTTGTCCAGCGCCTACCCGCTAACTAGACGCTTTCGAGGTTTTTCGCGAGCAAAGCAAAGAAAAATGAAAATAATGACTCCCTAAATTCCAACATGTACTCTACTTGTCCACATACCCAAAACAAGATACCGCCTGGTTGATTCATTCAACTTTGATATGTTGTTTAGTCCACGGAGTCCACTTGAGCGCCGAGATGAGCAAACGAGGAATGTCGAATAGAATTCGAGATGATCAGCTCACCCTGTGTGAGAAGATGGCCCTGTAGCCTACGTGATGCTAGCTATGATAGTGTGAGATGGATGGGTAGATATCGTATTATCAATATCCCCGTTTTCCAGGGATGGCTCACCTCACCTCCAGCGTACTCAACGTCATCTCACCACAATGCTGGGCTTCCCAAGTAACTTTAGAAAACACAGCAGAGGTCGTACATTCAAAAATATCATCATGATGAACTATTCACACACATGTCCTCTCCACCTCTCCTTTAGCAATTAGATCCCCGAGCTCTTCGTGTCTCATCGATCCATACCCTTCCATCTCTAGGCCAGAATCCGAAAAGCATTAACCTCTAAGGCTTCGACCTGAAGGGAAACCCAACACCGCCGGCCTGTAAAAGGTCTTCTTCCTCCTAATTACCCATTCCTATGTCCCCAGCGTAGACCCCTCCCCCCCTTCCCCCCGAATAGCGTCCGTATAGGCCTTTTTTTTTTTTTTTTTTTTTTTTATCTTGAAACTTCATAATCGTTCCCGTCGTTTCCTTCGCCAGCCAAGTATCCAACGTCAAAAAGCCATTAATCATCATCTACGATCTTCAACCTATCCAAATCTCCATCGAGACCCAACAACCCTAGCGCGAGATGCGCTCTATCCACCTTCGCCAGTACCATCTCACCGCCGTCTGCAAGCTCCTGAATCCTTTTATCTATCCTCCTTGGATTGGACCACACCGTGCGCGGCGCTGCAGTCATGAGATCCTCCGACCGCATATAGGGCGGGCCGCAGCCCATGTGTGCTGCGCGCACCCAGCTAGCTTCGCACCCCTCTGCGATCTGCCGGGCGGAGGCCCAACCCGTGAGCCGGGAGATGTCGTGGAGGCGATGGATGAGCCAATGTCTTTGGTTACTGTCTTGGTACTGTACATTCTGGTGTAAGTAGCCTACCAAAACTCTAGGAATGTTAGGAAAAATGCCCGGGGGGAGGGGGGGACGGTACCTGAACGCCAGCCACGAACAGACAGAACGAGCTCTCGATAAAGGCGGCGCCAACCAACGTGCTAATCTCCGTAATGTTGGATATCTCATCCGAGAGGCCCGCTGCAATGCGCCCGATATCTCGCGCCATGGGTGCAGTATCTCGGGCCGCTCTTCCGGCTGCCATCATAGCCGCCGGGGGCATTGACGGGTGGGCTCGATATAGGCAGATGAGGCCCATGTTAAAGTTCATCCAAATACCGGCGACGGAATAGGTCCGATACTGTATTGCTGGCCCGAACGGCGTGTCTCTCCTGTCTGAGTACTCGTCGGCTAGGGGCTGGAACTCAGGTCCCAGTCTTGAGCGGAAGACTTCAAACGCTTGCCGGATTCCCTCCCACTCTGCTAACGCAGCTTGGGTTGCCGCATCAAGGTCGCCATCTTCATCCCCTTCGCTCTGTGGAGATGGGTCCCGATGGGTGCTGAAGCCGGTCGGCGCTGCGACCTTACCTCTAGAAGGAACCATGCCGGGAAACATGGGTGGAGAGGCCCCAGGTGGGCCGGGGGGCTTGTTTGCCTTCCTCTTCCGTGGCAAGTCATTAGACACGAATTCCGAGAGCCGGGCCATTAATAACAGGATGTGATCGAAGGTTCCGTAGCTAGAGACGTCATGTTAATTCTAGAAGGCTTAAAAGTCACCGGAACTTGAGACCACAACTTACATAGCATCAAGACGCCCAACCGGGGCTCTTGGTGGACATGGGAGCCACTCATCGAGCCGCATACTAAAACCATGTCAGCAACCACGAAATCGAGAGAGGAGAAATTGGCTGCTGAGTCCGAAGTACTCACAATAATCGCGTTGCTCCCAAGATACTCTGGTAAACATCCATCTTACAATTCCACCAAAATAGATCCCTCAAGTGCTCGTAGTACTCAATATCCCGATCCGTCGGTAAGGCTGCCCGCGGAAGCGCATCAAGGTCGAACCCATAGCCGTAATCCTCGTCATTCAGCTCTCTGCCTGTAATCGCGCTAAGGAATTCGACATCAACCTCGTCAAGACCAGCCACACCGGCATTAACATCACTGTAGTCGAGCCACGGGTTGAACGGATCCTGCGTGCGATCCTCCTCATACTTTTGCCTCCTCGCTCGCTTGGTAGGAAGAATTGTGCGGGTCATGTGCAGGAAAGGTACATCTCTGAAGAGGATCCTAGCACCGTATAGATGCCTGCACCACTTTGTGTGGTCGGAGGACCATACCTCGAAGTACCCTAAGAGTAGGGTTGCAGCAAGCGTGGCAGGGTGAGCCCTTAGGGTTGAGCTGCGTACGCATTTGGCGATTTTTCGGAGGGCGAGGTGATAGTGCTTCATCGCAGCGGTTGGGGGCATTCGTTGCAAGTTGGCAATTTGTAAAGCTCCGAGGGCCAGCATGGCTTGGAGGAGAGCGGGGTGATTAAGAGAGAGCATCGGGAAGGTGTCTATCTAAAGGTTAGCTGATACCGCAAAGCGCGCATTCGAGGAAGGCAGTCGGGAAAACACCGAGCCAAGCCACCTACAGGTCCAGATGTTCTGGTTGACTTGAGGAACCAGTTGTTCTGGGGAGATTTTAGAGTGATCGAAGGGATGTCGTTCATAAAGAGACATACTCGGTCCAGTAACGAAGATGAAGTGCCGGAATATCGCAATAGATTGAGGATCGGTGGGGAGCACATGGCCGACCGACGGCGCGTATGTAGACAGGGTGGTGCCTTGGGCGTAAGCTGAGAAGGTTCGAACCCGAGTTTCGTGGATTTCGTTATGGGGGACAAGGCGACCATCAATAAGTGCGCCAAAAGTGCTCCTCTTCCTCAGCTTCTCCTGCGGATCCATATTTTCCATTTCAAACTCGCCTCCACTGTCCTCCTCCATTTCCTGGTCGTCGGATTCGAACATATCCTCGTCCTCGCTGCCATCATCGATTCTAATATCGGCGTCGTATGCCCTGTCAATTCCTTCGCGCGTATCACCAGATGCTAATGCCATGCCCCTCGAATTTGACCCCGCAGGCGCAGAACCTGAGGTACGTGAACCTACATTCCGCGGGTTCCATTGAAAGGCAACAGACTGGTCGACTCCGGGTGGCAATTGTGTTGATGGAGAGAACTCAGATGGCGTAGAAGTTATGCCGTGATGCACATAGGGCTCGTTAAAGTTGAACTCTTCTGCACGCGCCGCCGAAGATCCCCCAACACCCACACCATAATAAGCCTGGCCACGGAGTTCGGCAGAAGATGATGGCTTCGGCGCTATCAATTGATGAGAGTTATGACCGGGAGCGCCTGACCTAGTCGGAGAGGAAGCAAGTTGATTTGGGAAAGGGTCCGGAGAGTCGGGTGGGTATCCCATCGTGCCACCAAAGGCACCCATGGGTTCCTTGAACACAACGCGCTGATTGTAGCCATCACACCGGCGTTTGGATTTGATACAATTCCCGCAGGTTGGCCGGCCCTCGTCGCATTTAATACGTCTCTTTCGGCAAGCTGGGCAAAGGACTAGTCAGTGAGACTCAGAATCCTCTCTTGTCGAGTCGTAGGCTAGGGCGAACTATCGGTACGGACACGCAAAGGTTCAAGTATACTTACTGATGCACCCGGTTTTTGTCCGTTTCCGGACTGCCGGTTTCTTGCGATTCGGATCATCATTCCCCTCTTCGTTCCCTCCCGCACTAGGAGGTCTTCCATCAAGAGTGCTGCTGGACTCTGAAACAAGCTCCGGCGGGTCCATGATAGTAGAGGAAACCAACAAACAAGCGATGGGGCCGGGGAAGCGAGGCGAAGTTCGTACTGATGTGGTGGATGCTTGCCTTCTTTTCGCTTCTATTCGTCAACCAGGGTTTCTTCAAGGCCTAGGAAGGGAGCAGGCTCGCATATTGCCTGACAGGTTCTCGCCGGTGCCGCGACTATATCTACAGAAGGGATCGAGGCTGAAAAAACGGAGTGTTAGGGGGCACAGCCACACGCAGAGATAAGAACAACCGTGTGCAAATCAAGGACCAAATTTGTGACGAGTTTAACGGGTGAGAAGATGAGTTAAGAACTTTGATCAAAGGGGGGATTAGAACGATGATAGGTAAGGCTGTTGATATGGTGAAGATCTCGGCGCCGCTAACTTGCGGGGCAAGATTGGGGAACAGAAACAAGCAAAGGGAAAGGCGAGCAGACGACAAAACAGGAAACTGTATCTAGTCACCCCGGAAATTGAGAGCAAACGCTGCGAGAGGAATCCTAGGAGGAAAATTGAGGGGCTGAGAGGCAAAGAGAGTCACACGGCGTCGAGCTACCTATATTTGGGTGTCTGGCACTGAGAGGCGGCTGAAACAGAACGGGTCTAATGCGCCACTAGGAGAGCTCAACAGCTTTCAAAGAGTAATGGTCTTTCAAGTGAGGAAGAAGGGGATGATAACCGTTTACGGAGAGGGAGGAGCAACCGCTAGGAATGGAGAGCTTCGAGGACGAGGTAACGATAACGGTGGGGAGGCGGAGAGTTTAGGTGATGCACTGCATATAAGAGATCATTGATGGAAAAAGAGCTCGAGCTAATCGGACGCAGGCTTCAGGCTTTACCCCCAAAGTCCGAACAGGGCTTCACTCCAAGGGCAGGACGATGTGAGTGTAGTGTGGTGCAGCCAGGCGTAGTGTACATGTGGGACTAGAATTTTCTTACTTGATGTAGTATGCAGCAGAGATGGTGGGAGCTGCAAGAAGTGGTCGAAGGGGGGGTTCCTAGTCGCCAACAGGACAATTCGGCGATTTAGACCCCAAACAGCATGCAAGCCAGGACAGATAGCCGTTAGTCGTTCCAGCTAGTCGGGAATCGCAGAGGTGAGATGGATCAATCGGATTGGGAAATAGAAACTATCAGATGGTCGTAGAGAGGCTATTCGTCACGCGTCCACATGCGACGGCAGCAGATGGCAGGGAGCTAGTCAAGGTGGCACGAGGCAACGGTTCTAGGTTTGAGGAGGAAGGGAAGAAGAAGAATCGGGGGGGCAAGGAATTGAGGGTCGTGGATGGAGTATTCAGTCTTCGTGCTGTTGCGTTAGAGCCGAGTCCCGACCCAGATTAAGAGAGGGTTGGCAAGTACGAAGTATGTATGGAGCACGGAGAGTATCCTGGGTCCGGGAAGAGCTCGTCAAGATATCAATTCAACGATCAATCAACAGAGCCTATGGATTTTAATGCAAGTGGTTCAATGTTCCTTCCTTCCCCACCATCCCAGTTCCCCTTCGCCTTCTTCGGGATGGGGAGAGCAGGCACTACCGGGTAACGTGCAGCACTGCTGTTTCATGTATCAGTCAGCGTGTTGGGGTGTAGCCGTGGTACCATTCCTAGTTGCAGCAGGCAATTTACCATGACCCAGGACAGGATGTACTTCAGAGGGTAGAAGGGTACATGAATCAATCGATCATCAATGTACACTAAATCATCAATTCAATGGATTGATTTGCTGCAAGAGCAAGGGTGGGTGCAAGGGTGCAAGGGTGTGCTGGATCAGTTGTTCTGGTGGGGGATGAGAGTGGAGATCACTGGGTACCATTGTACTTTGTGGTGGGTAGGTCGGGTACTTTGCAAGCCACTATTTCGACGCTTGTGTAAAGCAGTCTTTCCAGTCTGCCAACCCCCTTGTCTGGGTACATCAATATGTACTTGATAGTCTCTTCCAACTGCGTTTATACAACCCCAAAGTATTATTATATTCTACTGCAACCATATTTCTCCCCTCCCTCGTCTTCCCGGCAAGGGACACCTACAATCCTTATGTTGTGTAATATAGGCAGGCCGAAACGAACAAAAATGGTCATAAGAGCGAGCGCCAGAGAATGTAAGTGTTCTCTAAGAGAAGTATCCTGCGAAGTGTACCGTCCGTCCATGTGCCGTCCCGTCACAAGATAGGATTACAGGTTCGAGAGGGCATTAAGCATCAATGGAAATGATTCTGAGGCGGGAGACTATGTTATACATATATAGTAGCGGAGCCCAGCAAGCTATGATAATTGTACTTCGTAGGGCTTGCGTATTTGTTTGAGATTTGATAATTCTGAATTGTGAGGACTTCGTACTTCAGGGAGTGTCGACTTGAGTCTAGACTCCCTGCATCGTTTAGGATCAACCTCCGGTCAGTCGTGAGAATCGTTGACGTCGTACAAGCTACAAACACACACCAGCGGATCACCGGCGATCGACGTGGGTGCCTGTCAGTTTTACTGGGGTCGTTCACTGCCGACTGACAGCCACACTCGAAAATACTCCGTTCACGATGTATACGAAGTACACTACACCACCTGTGTATGAAGGACACTCTTGTAGTAGGCGAGTGCAAGGCGATTCCTTACACTAATACTTCATACAAACAGCTGGTTCTCAACTTCTCGTGGAAATTGGAAAGGGCAGTAACCAGTTTCGAACCCACTATCTCTCCATGCGAGGCACTACGACTACTAGTTTAGCCCTAGGCATCCACGAACGACGGCCTCCCCGTCGCACGCACAGGTAACCTTAGCCGGGCCCTTGCGAGCGATGCTAGCCGCAATTGGATTTTGCATCGAACTTTCTAAAGGCATCCGATGCCTGCATGGCGTTTTCAAGCTGTCCTGGTCAGGATGTAGCATCGATGCATCTGAGCGGTGGATAGTCATCGTTCGTTCTCGGTGTATCAGTGAGGGGGGACGTGAAAGCTTCGGCGAAACTTCCCAAGCCCCCGAGGCGGTCTGCAAAACCCACGAGCTGCACAGAGTAGGGTTTGAAGTCAATTGGAGGGCCGATTGAAAGATTGTTCCCTTCTGCGATGGAAGGCCCGAAGAGGAAAAAATTCGCCGCGAGAGTACGACCGAGTGCGAGGTTTCACGGGGAAATCGCCGAGATGCGACAGAAGCTTGCTGCGGCTTACAAATTGGTACCAGCCACATATTAAGTGCCCTCAAGTATGACATCAATTGATCTTGGATATTCTTATTTTGAGTGCTTTTTACCATCAAGCCAGAAGCTGTTGAGCCAGATCAATGTCAAGATGTCAAAGGGGTTACAATGCATTAGTCGCTCACACAACTACCGTAACGAGCTTAGAAACAGTTGCGTCGAGTTCCACTGATGCATTCCAGCAGCTTGACCAGACGATGGATTTGAAGCTCTGCGAGGAGTAAGTCTTGAGCATTTGGTGAAAGGTTCATATGTCGAGGATGAACTAGATCAAAATGTGCCAAACGATACGGCGGGCAGATGCTACCAAGTTTACGAGGTATCAGACTCTTTCCCAACCTTCAGTCCCACCTTGAACAAATCTCCACCAAGCATTGTCTTGCTCGCCAATCTGGTTCCAAGAAGAGAATGCCAGTGCTTCCTTCACACACCTAGGCCACAGACCGCAGACCAGAAAATATGCATCTGCAACCTGCAAGACTACCCTACCACAGAAGGCACGTACTTCGTACAGGGCACTGCTCCCATGGAAGTGGAAATGGGAGTGTGCTTGGTCTGGCATAAGGCAGTGTCCGTCGATTGGGTCTCGCCCGGTGCCTTTGTACCCCTGTCCCTTTTCAACGAAGTTGGCCGTGGCTGCGCTATGTCTGAGATTTGAGCATTTGAACCTCCAAGTAAGAGGTGTACACTACTTCGTCCACTAGTAATGTGTAATGTTGGTACTGCGAAGCAGACTTTTGGGTCTGCGGTGGCAGTTGAGGTGGGGTGTGATTCCGATCCTCCACTGTCGATCGCGGTTCGCTTGGCCCTATTTTCCTATTTACGAAGCAATATCAAACTCGAGGAGAAAAAGTCTGTCAAGAAGAGCCAACTAACGTCAATTCCGATCACTTTCCCTCCCGGCACTTTACCATGTGAGGCCAAGCACCGCAATTGAACGCGTCAATTGGCTGGAGCCCCGGAGAGCCAACCCAGGGGAGCCTTGTCTGACGATGCCGCACATCGATCTCCAATTCTCCCATCCCTTTTTACGACGAAAACCGGGATTCAGCGAGGAAAGACCTCGACCTGCCCCCTCCCTTTGCCGAGATCCGCGCCATTCCTACCGGATGAAAGATGAAAGTTGACACTCCTACAAGTTACATGCTTTAGATTAAAATGGGACAGGGTACCTCGGTCCCTCGCGACAATGATTGGCGTTCCGGCAGTCGACACATTCATGAACCGTGCTTGCTTGCTAGCGCCCAGAGAGGTGCGGCGGGCATGGATGGCATGGATGGCTTGGACCGATCTCCCCGGGTTGATCAAACTTCGTCTAATCTTACTTGTACTTCTCATGAAGTCTTGAATCGAGGATCAGAAACCTTCTGCCCTTGCGTCCCTCATTCTTACTTATTACTTTACATCTCAGTGATATCGTGTATAACGAACCTCTAAGTACGAAGTATACTGGAAAAGTTGGTATGATAGACCGATTCTATTCAATCGGCAGAGATAACTCCCTGAACACACACCCCATCCAACACGCAACACTGGACGCCTCGGGCTTCAAATTTGATGGATGCATATATATATGCACCTCTGCATCTCACATCCACTACTTCGTACATATTTCATTTCATTTCATCCCCCATGCTACTCCGCAGAATGCACATACGAGGTAACCCTCACACTCCTCCCCTCCATCTCTTGATCCATGTCTGTCCGATCCCAGTTCTCCCCACCCAGACCAATCCTCCCTCAAAGCCTCGATCGGTTTCACCCATTAATACCCCTGACCTTCACTTCATCCAATTTGCGACAGCCGCT